TCTGTCGATTATGGGCAGTCTTGTCTTTCCATTTATCTATTAAAATTCCTATAGTTGAATTGATGGGATTTCATTATACATATTCCCAGATTAGCACATTATTTTGTGGAGGTGCCTGAGAGGTAGGCAGGAGGTGAGAATCTGTCACCCTTCTCAAATAATAGCTTCTGCTCCTCCAAACTCCTTTTCCCATCTCTGTTTACACAGTAATCATGAAAACAAATCCCTATGCCTAAATCAAATGTAAAATATCATAGAAGTGCCTTTATGCCCTGCTGCAATATCCTAAAATAACCATTATTATAGATAATAGACCTATAATTTTTATTCTTTTCATAAAATAACTGTCTCCCATGGCTTTATCAATATCAAAATATATAGTTTATAAAATATACTATTTCAGTTTTCACTAAAGCCAGACTTCACAATAGCAATAATCATATTTTACTATGGAAATAATTTTCCCTAAACCTCCAAAGGGTATAATGTGTAATTAGATTTTTTAAAACTGTCTTTTCTCTGTCAGTCTCTCAGTCTCTCTCTCTATCTCTCTCTCTCTCTCTCTCTCTCTCTCTCTCTCTCTCTCTCTCTCTCTCTCTCTCTCTCTCTCTCTCTCTACTCTTGTGCTGGTCAAGGTTCTCCACTTTTCAGAATCAAGTAACCTATTTAAGCAAGGCCTAAGTCTACCTCGGAAACTTGCCACATTGTCTCCTTTTGTACAACTAATAAACCTATTACTGTGATACAGTTTCTTGTTTATTTCTATTATAGAGAGAAAAGAGCACTGATGTTGAATTCAGATACTTGGTTTAAAATTATTACTGAGTAACAAGTCTGATTTTCTTCCTCAGTAAGTATCGGAGTATTATCTGCTTTAAAGATTTCTATGGGATGATGCTCCGTTGGTAGAAAGGTAGCAGGTTTAATTTCTATGGAGAATTAAATCAGAAAATTAATTTCTAGAACATTGGTTGGCATAAGAAGCTAAAGAAATATTAATTATTTTCTTCTTCATGTGACTAAATAAATGTTAATTTTTCTCCTCTTTATGTATCTTCATTTCCTGTGTTTTATACTATAGTATGAGTTGTGAGAAAATGTTTTCTACTTTATTTGCATTTTGAAGAAATTTAGTATATATTTTTGAAATAATAGATAAATAATTTACGTGAATGGCTAACCATATATATTTTTTCTTGTAGCTAAATAGTTCTGTATGTATTTCTATTATTTATATATGATTTTTTGTATGGGTCTATGTGGATACACACATTCACTGATATCAATTTTTGACAATCATAAACCCAGTGGCCATAGGAAAAATAGCAACAATAACTGAATGTTGAGTGTATTGTGTATTGTTTGCTTGTTGATCTATCAATCAACTTATGTATTCTTTTTAAGATATCCATTAATTATCTCATGCATATTCATTAATATAATTTCATTTTTATTTTATTTATTTATTTAATTTATTGTTGACATTATTACACATGTCCCCATGTCACCCACTTTTCACCCCTTCCACCCAGCCCCTGCCCTAAGCCAAGCCTTCACCACACTATTATGTGTATCTATGGGCTATGCATATATGTTCTTTGGCTAATCTCTCCCTGTTCCTCCTACTCTCTCCCTGCCCCCCGCTCCCACCCCTCTGCCTCAGGTCTGTTAGTCTTTTACATGCATCCATGCCTCTGGATTCTTTCAAAATTGATTTTGAGCCCTAACTTGTTTGTCTCAATGAATAGAGCACAGGCGTTAGAAATGAAAGGTCCTTGGATACATGCTCAGGTTGTTGGCTCTATCCCCAGTAGGCAGCCAATCAGTTATTCTCTCTCATCATTGATGTTTCTATCTCTCTCTCCCCTCTCCCTTCCTCTCTGAAATCATTAAAAAATATTTTTAAAAATGATTTTGAACAAAATAAATTAGCAATTTTTAAAAAAAATTATTTTAGAAAAGAATTATACACTTATGACAAATTCTGAATGTTTTTTGGAACTCAAAGTATGAATAAATGAAAATGAAATGAAAATGTTGCTCATGATTCCTTTCCATGGTTTCTGCTTTATCTGAACCACATTTCCCCCCTGTCAGTGCTTTTCCTATTTGTAAGAGGAAAATACTATGAGATTGTCTATTATAAGCTTCATTTTGTTTTATATTCTATGTGAGATTAAGCATAAAATTTGTATGCGTTGTGTCCAAATGTAGTATTCTTGGCATCCATCTATACACTAGTGACTCAGGAAATATTAATAGCTAAATAATCTTGCTTCTTACACAGCCACAGTAAAAGGATAAACGTGAAACTAATCTTACCTAATAATAGACAAACATGTAAATTGACCTTACCTCTGCTATATCATCAGCCAATCAGGGGTGATATGCAAATCAATCAAACAAAGATGGTGTGGTTAATTTGCATACACAGGTGCCAAGTGAAGGGGGCAGGGCACAGGCATTCTACCCCACCTCCAGTCTCTCAGGACTTCTGAGCTGTGTGGGAAGGTGGGGCCGGAGATAAAAGAGGAGGTTCCAGGGCCTGATAGAAAGGGGCTGGGCCTGAGTGGAAAGGCGGTGCTGGCAGCCAGGGAAAGGAAAGCCCTTTCTAGCAGGAATCTTTGTGCATCAGGCTTCTAGTGAAAGACATAAAGCTCTTATTACATGCCAGACACTCTTCTGGGCAATCTATATTTTAATGTATTTCAGATAATTAAAAGATACAAGTTATAGTTCATTTAATGTTCTTATAACCATAATTGTGAAGTATTGACACTTTCTCCTACTAACTGATAGGAATCCAAGGCCCCGAGAGCTTAAACGACTACCCCAAGGTTATCTTTATCATGCTATAGGTAATAGTGCCCAAAATTCAGATTAATCCATGTAATTTTGACTTATAACCAAGGCAAATACTTCAGACTATTTTTGAATTTATTTTTGGTAAAATGAGGATTATAATACAATCTTCAGTAAGCTATCGCTATTTTGAATGCCCATTCCCAGAAAAAAATACATACTCAAATATGAAATTATATTACATATATATTAATCACCAGAATACAGAGAGAGAGAGGGAGAGAGAGATGCAGCTTCTGTTAATTCATCATTTTTTTTTATTGTTTAAAGTATTACATGTTTCCTTTTTCTCTGATTGACAACCCCCCTCCCCCATGACTCCCACCCTCCAGGAGAAGCCCCCATCAACCCAGTGTCTGTGTCCCTTGGTTATGCTAATATGCATGCAAACAAGTCCTTTGGTTATCTCTACATCCTCCTCCCCTGCCTTCTCTCTGAGGTTGGACAGTCTACTCAGTGTTACCTTGTCTCTGGATCTATTTTTGTTCATCAGATTATGTTGTTCATTATATTCCATATTTGAGTGAGATCCTGTGATATTTATCTTTGTCTGACCGGCATATTTCTCTTAGCATAATGCTCTCCAGATCCACCCATGCTGCTGCAAATGGTAAAGAGTTCCTTCTTTTTTACAGCAGCGTAGTATTCCACCGTTTTCTAATCTACCCGTCTGCCGATAGGCACTTAGGCTATTTCCAAATACTAGTTGTGTTAAATTGTGCTGCTATGAATATAGGGGTGCATGTATCCTTTCTGATTGGTGTTTCTGATTTCTAGGAATATATTCCTCGAAGTGGGATCACTGGGTCAAATGGGAGTTCCATTTTAACTGCTTAAGGAAACTCCATACTGTTCACCACAGTGGCTGCACTGGTCTGCATTCCCACTAGCAGTGCACCAGGGTTTCTTCTTCTCCACATCCTCACCAGCACTTGTCAATTGTTGATTTTTTGATGATAGCCATTCTGACACGTGTGAGATAGCAACTCATTGTGACTTAGAGCATGTTTTCATATGTCTCTCAGCCTTCTCTATATCCTCTTTCGACAAGTGACTATTTAGGTCCTTTCCCCATTTTTTTTATTGGATCCTTTATCTTCCTTTTGTTAAGTTGTATGAGTTCCCTGTAAATTTTGGACATTGATCAATTTTAAATGTGCATGAAAGACAGAATCATCAAAATGTGGGTCATGTTCCCTTCATATTTTTGCTCTATGAGATAATCTGTGCATACATAAGCTGAAGCAGTTATATCAGTTTGATTCACTAACATGACTTTTTAAATGTCTGCCATAACTGTATTTAACTCTTTTAAGCAAGATTGTTCATCTTAAGCTGTAAGATCCTAGAAAATAAATAGCATGTTTTATTCAGTATTGTATTATGTTTTCCTAACCTAGTGCTTTGTAGTTTAGTGGGCACTTTATAAAACTCTGTTGAAAGAATTAATTATCTTTGAGCATAATTAATTAATAAAAATCTATGATCTTCACAGGTTTACTTACAAATATGCTTAGAATAACAATGTAGGTAACATGTAGAATGATTTCTAAATGAATATTAGGGACTAAAATGAAAGTAAAACTTATACACTTAACTTTTTTTTTCAATCTCACAGCAATGATAATAAATTTTTATAGTAAAGTTAATAAAAATTGTATTTCTGGAAAATATTTCATGCATAATAAGTGCCAAACTTAGTTAATTATTATAAAAATAACATAGTATATTTATATTATTTTTCCAGAAATACCGCATTATTTATTTCAGTTCCTTTGAGGTGTAGAGATTAAATACTGGTAATACATGCATAAACGTTGTCCTTTAGGTTACTCATTTTTATATATGGATCTTGTACTCATTAAAATGAAATTAGGAGGTATAAGAGATATTTTAGTCAGGAAATAAACTTTTAGAGTTAAGAAAACCTATATTTGATAACTTTTTTTTTTCTTGTTTGCAGGATTCGAATTTGGGATATTGGTGTTTCTGTTTTGAGGACTATTTCTTTTTGGGTTTTTACTTTTTCTTTTTTTTTAATCATCGGTCTTGGAACACAGAAGAGGAACCAGAAACATTCCTTGTGATTCTCGTGGGAAACACTCACTTTTGAGGCACTCACGCCTGACTTCACAACCATGTGGCCATCACAGCTTCTGCTCCTCATGATGCTCTTAGCACCCATAGCCCATGGTAAGCACTTCCATTAGTTTCTTTGTGTGATTCTTAATGTTATTCATACTAGTTTCTCTCCTTTACATCTTTGCTCTAAGATTTAGCAGCTTTTGCCTACATATATTAATAGAAGTAAGAGTAAAAGGTCAGATGTGTGACTTAAGCTGCAATAAATATGAGTTATAATAGAATTTTATTTCTTAAGGTACTTTTTAGAATGTATGTATGATCAAAGTTTTTGTTTACTTAAAGAACAACTTTGCATGGTTTAGTCTTTATTTTTACCACACCCAGGGAGAATTAGCTGACTCACTAACTACATCACTTATTGCGAATTTTTTGGTTTACACATTTTTATAATCAAAATAATTTTAATATAGTATTTGCATTTGAAAGAAAAACATTTCTCAAACTAAGTAATCATTTATTTGTTAGTGTTTACTACTCTGCTTAATTTTTAATACACAGAACAAAAAAAAAACTAAACTTTCCATTAAAGGAAAATTGTTTTTGTCATATAACTTTAAATGCAAAATAGGGGGGAAAAAACAACAACATTAAAATAATGTGAACATATGCAGAAAGGTAATTTTACAGAAATATGCTAATATACTCATAAAAATAACATACTTGTTCATTTAAACATCTTTGTATTGATAACAGAAATATGTAAATAATTACATACCTTTGGGCATTTTATAAAACATATAAGTATTCCATAGGTAAGCAAAACAGTTTCTGTACAACTTAGTATATTATGTTCACTGAATCTCAACAAGCCCTGTCAAGTTAAAGTCTATGTTCCTTTCTCACAATTTAAAGTTTCCTAATAATTACCCTTCCTTTTGCACTAAGATAAAAATGGTGTAGTGCAGACACTATTTCATACGTTAATGGCAATTGTAGCAAAGAAAAGGGGACACAGTTATATTCTCCAGTGCTTAGGAGTTCTCAGCATATTATAATCTATCAAGCAGCTGAAATGAATTTTCATCCTCTTTCACTCACTTATGATTTTTAATTGATTATGAAATCAGCTGTAGTTCATGAATGATGCAGTTCCACATTTGGCTCATGTCCTAAGTTTCAAATGGAATTGCATTCTGCTATCATTTTAAGAAAGGATAAAAGTTCCCTCCAAAGTTCCCCTGATTTAACAATTATATGTAACCAATACCTATAATATAAGGTAGTGCTCTATTAATAAAAAGAAAGTAAAATTAATAACCATACATAATATAAATAATTTTTGTCAAATATTTTGAAGTAGTATTTCTTTAATTCATATATTGATGCAGTACTTAAACATACACAATCTTGGGCACATGTGGCATTTGTCATATGGGACAAATAATTGTCACTTTAAACAAATGCTTTTCTCATTATATATCTCAAGATGATTCTAGTTAGGGATTTTATGTTATAAAAATGCCTCACTCAGATAGTTCTTTTGAGGATTAAATAAGTAGCATATGTGAATCTAGCATAATGCGTGATGAATATTAAATGGTTGAACATGTTAACTGCCTTCATACACTATCTGTCTCTTCAGTTTTGGTTCTGGTAAATTGTAAAAACCAGGAATTAGCTGAGAAATTATTTTAACATGAGATCTATTCCATTTGTTGTTGGTGTTCAGAGGAAATACACACACACACACACACACACACACACAAGTATATTTATTTTTTAAAAGTCAGTCTAAAATTACACTCGTTTGAGCAGGTAGATTAAAAATAGCAGAAGTAGACATTGTATTAAAGACTGTTTTTACTGAAGTTTCTGTTCTCCAAAACCAGACACCTAGGTATATCACTGGGTCCCAAACAAGGCTGAGCTATGCATAGATCTTGGTTCTTGGATTGGGACCTGTACTGAACACACACACACAAACACACACACACACTCTCTCTCTCTCTAGGTAACTCTGAGAAATATCTTAACACCCCTAATTGGGCACATTAAAAATTGACCTGGTATATCAAATATTTTAGGCTAAAAAGTTAAGCAATCCTTTCCATTTTACATGAACTACTTTCTATTATATATATATTTTTAAATCATATAAACCTAAACAACATGGAAGATTTCAAATTCTAAACTTTTTCTTATTGCCATGGTTAGGTATTCTAAAACTTGCACCAGAGAAAATTCAAGTCATTGTTGTGTGCCTTCTACAGGCGGCGCCTCCATTGTGGTTCCACTTCTGACTTGTAAACCCAGGGCCTCCCGTGAACAGCTGTGTAGAACCAGCTTACTCATAAGTAGAGGGATGCAGTAGCCTTTCCCCAGTGCTGAGGTTGCTCAGTAGGCATTTTTAGAGCCTCTACTAATCCTGGCTTAAAGAAATAGCACTTCACTCAAAACCATAGACGAGTGGCTTCAAATGGATGTCACAATTATAGAGGAACCTACCGCCCCCCCCCCAAACATCCCCTGACAACATCTCCTCACCTACAGCTGTGAAGCCCAGCTTCATTTGCCCTCATGTACACAGAGAATTTACTTTTCTGGGTATGATCTGAGTCTCTATTCTTTTCTCTTTAGCAAATAATAATGATTATTATGGATTTTATAGCTATACAATTTGGATATATCAGTACAATTAACCACAATATTCTTGTGGGCTTAACAATATTTATTATAATCTTTATCATTAAATATTTATGGTACAGACATTGAATATTGAGTGGTAAAGGAACTTGACTAATGTTACCCAAGCTATTATGAGACTCAGAGGGGGGCTGGTCTTGTGAGCTCTTGTCTTACTGCCAGTAAGATGATCAATTTCTAGCAAGGTCATTCTTCCCAATAAAGGATCCCATCTCACCTCTCCCGGTCATTGGGAGAGATGAGGCAGAATGCATATAACCTGCCTCCACTAAGGTCTGGACAAAGACGGACTGAGGTTGGAAATCTGACAAACCTGAGATAATATTCTGGCTCTCCCATCTACTAGCTCTGTAACTCTATTACTTGATAAACTAGTTAGCAATCCTACGTTGAGTTATAAAGTTGTACTAATTGCTAAAAAATATGTCAGTGAGCAAAAAATATTCTTACTACTTCCCTCAAGGAGCTTACAGAAACTTAAAAATGTGTAAGTCTACTTTTCATCCAAAAGAATAGACACTTATTCCATGCAGAGTCATTTTAAGAATGGATAGAATAATAAACTATGTATAGCTTCTAACACAGTGCGGGTATTTGGTAAATCTTTCTTGTATTTGGTTTTTCTACTCTAAAATTAGCTTGAAATAGATGGAAACCTCTGAAGGTTTAATAATAAAAAATGCATAATTATCCTTATTCTTGCCTTGGGAATAGAAAGAAATCTTCTGCTTAAACCTCAGTATTCAGGTTTTGCCAGAAATTTCTTAATACTACTCTCTGAACATAATTATTATTAAACTGATATATATCAAAGCTTAGTATGTAATATCAGTATATACAAATGTAATTATAGTACATAATTGTCAGTGATTTTAGTATATAATAGTCAGTGGTAGTGAAATATAAATGGTAGTATATGATGCATTTTTGCACGATCTTTATATGGATAAAATTAGAAACCAAGCTAAGTAATTAATTCTGAATAATGTTTACATTAGTTGAATGACCTGCCCATCATCCTAGAAAGTCATGCCAATATTTTATACAGAAAAACAAAATCCATCAGTATATCCACATTATGTATATATATACACACACAATTCTTTGAAATTAGGAAATGTCCATAGCTCTTTGTTTATCTGTCCATATTCTATGTCTTTATGTGCCTCTGTATTTCCATTTTCCATGACTGTATGCCCTTCCTGTGCTGCCATACAACCCTTATGTATTATGCAATGAGACCTGGCAGAAATCAAGAGAAGCAGGGAAAGCAGATGGCCAGTTCTTTGATGTTAACTAATGTAGGGTTACATAAAGTTAAAGTGTTTTTTGTTCTAGTCATGTGGTTGGAAACAAGGGAAATAGTGAGATTGGAGAACAATATCCAGTGATAAACATGGGTACCAGGGCTCATGCTGACCGGCAGAAAGGGTAGTGCCAAGGTTCAGTGTGGGACCTGGGCTAGGAGATCTGGTCAGGGTGTGACTACCCAAGCCACATGGGTTGGGAGTTGAGAAGGTGATTTTGGTGCATATATATATATATATATATATATATATATATATATAATCTTAATTTAACTGTACTTATAGGTAATGTCTTTATTGAAAAGATCGCATATAGGATTGATTGAGCCCCCTGGGTAATGGGAAACAATATGGTACATTTGTATAGAATATAGGGCTTTAGTATTTTTTTCTATAACCAACATATGTTTACTTTTTTCCTATAGTCCTATTTTTGGTTGTGAAAGTTTTATGTGTGGTAATATATTCACTAGAGGCCCTGTGCACCAATTATTGCACAGGTAGGTTTCCTAGGCCTGGCTTCTGATCAGGGCTGATCAGGTTACCTGCCTCCCTGCCACCTCTTTCCCTTGCTTCCTCAGTGCTCCACCACCACTGCTTGTCACCTGCCATGTTCTGTGCCACCCCCTGGTGGTCAGCACACATCATAGCAAGTTATCTAACTCCCGGTCCCCCGGTTGAACTCCCAAGAGGACACTTTGCATATGATCTTTTTATATATATATCGATGGATTTTGTAGGGTATCCCACTTTTTATTATATTCAAGGAAGTTAATTACAATAAAAAGTTCTTAGTTGGAACAAAAGAACCAATAGCTGCATATATATTTAATACTATACATTTTTATGTATATGCACTTTATAATTAATCTATTTTAACAGTTATAATACTATTTAATGGGTCAGTAATTTAAAATAATGCCCATATATATTTTAACTTCTAATAACATGTGAAGCTTGAGAAAGGATATAATTATATTTTACTACATAATATCTCACCATATAATTCTTATTATGAAGTTATGTTTTATAAGTGCAAAAAGTCAGGTTGACTTCTAAGCTGTGCTTAACTTTCTTATATTTAGAAATTAGTCATCC